GGCGTGCCCCTGCCTAGGCGCTATTGCGGGCTTTTGGCTGCTTTCAGGACAGGGACCCGTTGGGATAACAGACCCCGCTGCGCCATCTCAAAGCAACTACCCCTCTGCCGCGGCGCCATCCACCGGAAACGGACCCAACCTCACGAGCACTAATACTCTGAGTCGGCCACTCGCGGTCTACAGATTCGTGTTCTTCATAAGCTAAGCCTGACCCGTAGCTTCTAATCCAGCCTGGTCAAACAACAGCGGCGGCGCATCCCTTTCCCGCTATTTTAAAACTGGGTCCGGTCTCTCCCATGCCTTTGATATAACAGAACTTGCGGCGGCTGGCTGTGCCTACAGTCTGACCGCGCGGAGCAATAGCTGGCGTCTGTTACTCACCGCATCGGCCCCCTCCGGGTAACTAGGTGCTCCGCCATTCTGGTGTCCTCCTTCGTCCCGCTGTTGGAGGATGTCCTCCAAGCCTTCTTGGCCTCCGCCGCGCGATTGCTCGCGCTCTGCCATCACTTCGCTGTTACTGGAGACCGATATGCCAGCAACGTCAAATCGCCTTATCTACTTTACTATTGAGCTGGGTCCCGAATACAAAGTAAATCACTATTTAAACAATTCAAAATCCCCAACAGACGACGTTCTGACTTGCGCTTGCTTGCACGGTTGACTGGCGAACTAGCGTTGTCTGGATTCAGCGCTTTGTTCCCAGCTAATCTTTGTAACGCACTACCGTATCAGTCACTGTCCTCTGGCCAATTCCGGTCTGCTCCTCCCGCGCCGCACTTGCCGTACTACACTACAGGACGAGCACTTAATCAACATGCAACGTTGCGCAAACGAGTAGCTCTTTACTAAAACTTAGGAGCAAACGCGAAATAATTTCTCAAACTAGGTTGGTAGCAGCACGAAAGGCGCTCTCCTTTCAGTTGGTGATAAGAGCGATTAAAACAGCTCCATCGCTGCCATACTTTCCTCTCGCAACAAGTATTCATAAGCTCATCCCTTCCTCGGGCTTTACACCCGCCGTTTGCCTGCATTATCCAACCCCGTTCCCGTTCTCATCTCCCCCCTTCCCTCCCTGCGCTTCCTGCGCTTCCGTCTCCCACGGCTATAATCCACGCCTTCCCAACACCCAAATCTCATTTCTACTCCTTCACCCTCTTCTCGTTCCCACGTCCTTGCTCCGCCCAACTACCCAACTACCGAGCCAACTGCTCAACTGCCCAACCACCCACCTTCCCGGAGCTTCTTGCCAAGAAACTGATTACTGGCAACACCGCCTCCCGGCCCGCAGGCCCCTGAGCCTCCAGAACCGGCACCGCCCAGCCCTTCAGAGCTAAAGCGTGAAGCAGATTGAGGCCGAGGAAGGCAACCGCGAAGCTTTCGCTGCGAAACAGCAAAATCAAGTCGGTTCCGGAGCCGCAGCGGCGGCCCCAGCCTGTTACCGCGTTGGCGACGGCGGCGGCTTGCGCCGAAACCGCCATAAAGCCCGGCCCCAGCAGTACGGCAGCGCGGCCCGTCAGGCCGGCGAGGCGGTGCAGCAGCGGGAACACGAAGCGTGAGAGGCATCGGTCCTGGGATTGGGGCGTGAGAGTGGGATGTGTATGTCTGCATGTGTCTATGTCTGCATGTATTCATGTGTATACGTGCTTTACAGACTTAAGGCGTGAGAAGGAAGGGGAGAGGGTGATGTGTATGTGTTGTTATGCTGTTACAACTATCTGGAAATGTGCACCGGTGCCGGGTGGAGACAAGCCTGCCGCACTCCAGTGAAGCAAGCAGTCATCCAGCAAAGTAAAAAGGCAGGTGAGCCTGTACGAGATCGGCCTCTCAGGCTGACGTCACTCAGATCCCACAGCAGTACAACACGGATGTACATACCCCAGCCGCCGCTCCCCACGCCGCCGCCAGGCGCCCTGCTGCCGCCGGCAGCTGCGCCGCGTGCGCGCCGTACGACGCCGCCAGCACTACCGCCGCCAGCACCAACGACCATTCAGGATGCGACCAGATTGTCGTCGCAGCGGCGCAACCGCAGCGCCAAGCCGCCGCCACCCACGGATACAGCACCCTTCCGACACGGCGCCAAAACCACGCCGCCACGGTCAGCGAAGCCGTCAGGACGGCCGCCAGCGGCACAGCCAGCAGCGCCAAAGCCTGGCGGCCCGTCGCCGCCAGGAGTTGGGCCGTTAGTACGGCAGCGGCCATGGCGTTGCGGAGTACACGAGCCGCCGGCTTGCTGAGGCCCAGGTCGAGGTGAATGTAGGCAGCGGCGGCGTAACGTTCCAGGACGGCGCCAAGACATGAGAGGGCTTCGAAGCGGCTTTTCTGGGGGAGGTAGTTAGGTAGTTAGGTAGGTAAGTAGTAGTTAGGTAGTGGGTAAGCAGTCAGTGTAATAGCTGGGTAGGTAGATAGGTGTATGGGGGATTGATTTGAGTGGGTCGGGGCGTATTAAGGGGTTCAGAGAGGTCAGGGAGGGTACGGAGAGCCGCAAGAAGTTGAAAAAGGATCTGTCGATATTCATGATGGTGTTACTGGGGATAGTGTCGGCAACTGTTACCTCACAACAGTGAGCTAACTAACTACGTCTCACTAACCACCATCAACCACTTCTAATCGCAGGCCGTACATTAGCATCAACCATGACCACCTAACTCACCCTCATGGTCTTGCCGGCCATCAACGCAGCGATAACGGCCGCCACGGCCCCCGCCGCACCGTACGGCAGCACCGCTCGTGCCGTCACTGCCTCTCGAAGGAACATCGACGCCGCAGCTGCCGTACCGACCGGCCACATCAGCGGCGCCAGGTACAACCGCAACAGTGACCAAGTCGCCGCTGCCAGCGGTCGTACTACCGTACGGTAAACCGCCGGGGATGCGGTACAGATGACTCGGAGTGCAGGGAGAAGGACTACCTGATGGATAGCTTTTCGGAGAAAGATGGCCAAGAGAGGGAGGGGGAGATGGGGGTACAACGTAGCACAGGCGATTGACGAGAAGGAAAAAAGAGAAGGGGAAGAAGGGCGTTAGAGTTACATCCAGAGCGGGGGTGCGAGAGAGAGAGAATGTCGAAGAGGGCGAAGGTTGGGGAAAGCGGGGCCAGGTTTGACATTTGATGTGAGGCGTGTATGTACACATACAGACACGCGCCTGCGCACACGTATACATACGCACACACACACATACATACACACACTGTGTATCACGGCTTCTGTTCAACAAGGAAATATATTCAATCAGTTACATCTATGGTACCTCACAAAAGGCTCACACGTCGCTGGTGACTACGGAGCTCACTTCGGTACAGTTATTCACGCACCCACTCAGGTCTGTCCCCCTAATGCGGCTCAGGTAAATTGAAAAAACACATACACACGCGCATACACACACATGGATTATGCTGTGCAGTCCCAGGCCCCAGGCCCATCCCGTCATTACGCGCCCCTCCTCGGCCTCACCAAAACATGCGGCTCGGAGCCCCGAGCCCAGTACCCGCAGCCCCGCCGCGAACCCCCGCAGCAGGGGCTGCAACAGCCCCTTCACGCCGACCAGCAAATCTGAGGGGGCGCCCCGGGGGGTCCGAGGAGACAAAACACACCGCAACGCACCACACCACGAACAGGACGGACGTAGCGGAGTGTTCAGCAGGTTGGCGGGAGTGAGGGTATATGCGGGATGCAGCGACGGCTTCATGTTAGAAGAAGCCGTCGCTGCGTCACGCATATGGTGATGCTTGCGGTGCCGGGGAGGCGCAGCGAGACGCGAGGGAGGGGGGGATCAAAGGTGCTGACGCTCCCAAAGCTGGGGGGGTTGCGGAGGGGTCAAGGGAGGCAAAACAGCGACGGGGGGAAGAGAGAAAGAGACCCCGTTCCTCCCGTCCCACCCTCCCCTCACGTACGCATACATACATACATACATATATACATACATACATACATACATACACCTCTTCCTTTTGCTCCGTTCACATGTCAGTTACGTTTCTGCTCTCACGGGTAGTGGGGTTCGTGGTGGCCCCCGGGGGCATCGCACGCGCTGTGGTAGCAGCATGACCTTCGGCTCTGTCCGCCAGCTTAGGGGTATAGGAAGATAGGTTTCCTGGGTTCTACCTGGTTGGGACCTTAGTGCCCTTGCTGACTATGCAGCAGCCAGTGCTAGCCGCCCACCACCCGAGTCGCCCTTCACCACGACAGCGCCTCCTCCGCTCAATTCTACTCTGGGCTCTTGACAACGTCACTCTTCTAAATCGACATCTATTTGAAACCCAAGCAGCAGCTACGTCCAGGAACATTTTAATTGGAAAAGTCCAACACACACACACATACACGTCGCTGGTGACTATTCGGAGCTCGGTTCGGTATGGAGTTATCCATGCGGTACCACCGTCCATCGGCATTTCCCTCATCGCGGCTCCGAAGATCATCGAAACACACACACACACAACACATCGAAACACACACACACACCTCGCGACCCCCTGCAGGTAAATGGCATCACCCCTCGCACAACTACACATGTCCCACACCTTCACATACATACATACGCACGCACACACGCACAAGGGGTTGCCATTCCGACCCCCCAGGGCCCCTAAGGCCGTCTCCCCCCCCCCAACCATCCGCTCACCCAATTGCCTTTGCAGACCTCCACACGCTCCCTTGCCCCTCTCCCCCGCGTTTCCACAATCACGGAAATTATCCACGGAAATCATCCACGGAAATTCAATAATGATCATGCTCATATGTACGTGCGGATGTATGTGGGGATATGCATACAGACCATACAGACACACGTACGTTGCAGCAGCGCTGTGACCCGGCCTAGGCTTCGACGTAGGGCCCTCCAAAGCATCCGGGCGGTGGCGGCTGCCCAGTCCGCCCCCTTCACCAACAGCCAGGTGACATCCCGGTCGGCTCTGAAAGCGTGCCGAGGGTGGGGTGCGGGGGGAAGAGGAAATACACATGTACATGTATTGAAAAGGCGTCTGTGGTGGTGGTAGTGGTGGTGGTGGTGGTTATGTCGAAAGTGAGTGCGCCTTAGCCACCCGCCCACTCACCCACGCCCGGACCACACACGCACTGGCACTGGCACGGGTCGCTCACCTCGGGGGGTTGGGGTTGGGGTTGGAACCAAGGGGCTCGGAACAACCCCAAGTAACCCAAAAGCCCCTCTTTGGCGGGTAACACAAGTATTGGTGTAATACACACATACACACATCGCCGGTAAACCCCCAGAAAACCCCCACCCCACATATTCCAGCCAACCTTCGAGTGATGACCACCGCAAGTCGAAGCATCTGAAGGCTGCTCAACCAACCCATCAGCCGTACCGCCGCCGCTAGCAGTTGTCGTACCCTCATCTGCCTCATCAGCATCCTCAGTCCCTGAACCCACAGCTCCAACAGCGGCACCTGGACTTCCAGCAATCGAGATAAGCAGCCGGCGGCGACTAGCAGCAGCAAAATGCCGTACAACGTGAGCGACAGCCAGTCGATCATCTGGAACGCATGTGATTGAGTGGGGTTGCAGGGGGACATAATGTTGCATGGGTGAAAGAGGGGGGACGGGCCGTTGGGGTGGGGGTTTGGTTTCGGAGCTACAGTGTGTGCTTATATATGCCGGGTGACCTACTCCTCGTTATGGGTCCAGCCCCAGCGGGCCAGGGGGCCAGTAATCAAGCCCTTCTGTGTTCTATCACCACCACTACCACCACCACCACCACCAAAACACAGAGGCATGCACACACACATATACACACACGCGCACACACACACACACACACACAATCACACACCCCTGCACTTCCAACCGCCGATGGATTTAATGAAGCACAGCAGTCACACTTCTCAACATCACAATTACCACCATCATCGTCGCGTCGCCGTCGCCACTGTTGCTGCTGTTGTTGTTCGGGTTGTGGAGCGTCATTGCTGCCAGCAGCAGCGTGCCGCCTCCCACTCCGGACGTGGCGACACCGGCGGCAAGCCCCAACGCCTGCAGCCACTCCCTCGTCTGGTCGGAGCTGAATCCACCGGACTCTGTAACGCATGAAGGACAAAATGATGAAGAAGAAGGAGGAGGAAGTAAAGAAGGAGAGGGCGAAGGATGCAAGATGAGGCTTGAGCGCGCCACCAGCAAGGTTGGGCGTATGCATGTAAGTCTGTCGTGTGGTTGGTGCTGGCCCCGTCGGACAGTCTCCCTTCACTCCAGCCTCCTCCTCACAGCGTCTTCTGGTTTCCCACTGAGCCCCTCCCTTGCTCCGAAACCCCATTTCCAGCTCCCAACTACCTCCAAACCCTCAACTACCTTCAAACTGTCTTCCCCCAACTACCTCAACCCATAGACGCTTAACCACTTCAACTCTCAACCACTACCTGGCGGCCCCAGCAGCCCCACTAGGCCGCAGAATCCAACCAGGCATGCAGTGCTGGCCCTCAGCGTTGCCAAGAAGTAGCGACCCACAGCCACATGCGCGCGGAGGGTGTCATCTAGCATCAGCACGGACAGCTGCAGCGCATCCAGCGGGGGGTTCAAGGGCGGTTTGGCGGGGGCGAGTGCGGGGGCGGGCTTGGTTTGAGGTACGGGTGGTTAGGACTGGGGAGGGTGGGATCATGCAGGAAGAATCATGCAGGATCATGCAGGAAGGAGCGAAGCGGCAGCTGCCGCACTGAAGTCCGAAGTGCCTCAGCGAGCGGCAGTTGGGGTTCCAAAGCAGCGTTGCGACTGGCTCTGTCGTCGTGTGGATGGGTTGAAGGAACCAAGGGAGGGTGAAAGGGACTGTCGAGGGGCAAGAGAGCAGTGCACTGAGGGGTAGACGGGGGTTTGTATGTGGCTGAAGTATACCCGGGAGAGGGGGGGGTACAAGAGAAGGTGTGTGTGTATGTGTATGTGTATGTGTATGTGTATGTGTATGTGTGTGTATGTGTGTGTGTGTGTGTGTGTGCGTTTTGCGAAGTATCTGACCGGGCCTGACACTGGCCGGGGGCCCCCAACGGAAAGATCGTGTAAGCTCTCTCCCGCGGACGGGAGAGGGACGTGAGGGGCCTCTGTCTCCTGCTAAGCGGCCGAGAGCCGCAGGTCCGCTCTCCTCCCCCGGGGGGGTTAAGAGGCATCGCACGTGCACACGCTCTCACGAGTCAAGGTTCCGTCGCGCGGGTTTGCGCACTGAGCCTGAGACACGAAGCGCGCGCCTTTGTTTTGAGTGTTTGACCGATGGCGGGGATCTGGAGGCACTGCACACAACACCATCATCATCACCACCATTACCACCACCACAACCACTACCACCCGCACTCATGGACTGACCAGAAAACTCACCACGCATGCCGTCGCTGCTAGCATCACTCGCCAGCACCTCACCAGCGCCGCCGCGCCGCCGCTGCGCACAAGCAGCGCCGCCGCCGCCACCGCCGCCACCACCAGCGCCGGCGCCACCAGAAACATATAAGAGCGCGCGAAGGAGCCCGGGGAGAATAGGGCCCATAATGGACCCATAGACAGCAGAAACCAGGCACGTGACCATGCCGTAGGGGGACCGCCGTACAGTGAGGATCCGGGGGGCTTGGAAAGCACGTGGGCGGCCCTGAAGGTTAGGTCGTTAAGGTGGTTACAAAAAGGCAAACTTTCGGCTCAGTTTTGTGTGGTTGTGGAGCTGCTCGAAGGTGTTCGACGGTGGACAGTGCTAGGCCCTATTCCAGCGATGCAGTCGAGCCCTATATCGCGTGTAAAACAGCCACACAGTTCTGTCCACTTGCCTGACCACTGCAACGACAACTTGTTGGCATACGAGGGCGGTATAGGAGATGACATGGAGACTTTTTACTGCGACACGCAAAACTGTGTATGCTGCAACCAAGACAAGTAAGGCTGTGATAACGCCCATAATTGGTCTTAAAGGTTTTCCTTAAGCGGATCAACCAGAACAAGAGGTTAGTTGCAGGCTATGCCTTGCCCGTGCCGACGACGACTCGGCCGAGACCCATGTTCTGCCTGGAATAACTATTAGCGGAGCTGTCAAATAAAGGTATGAACTACGAAGCTATACGTGTTATAAAAGGCATTCGTTGTGTATCCAAATGCGGTAATAGGGTTCACTCTACTCGACCTCTACTCAACCAGAGACTGAAATCAACACGTGCGCGGAGCTCAGTCTTGTATGTGCGCGAGTCCCGTGCATTCTGTTATCTCGTTGCTGTCGTGCGGCAGCCGGGGGTGTGATCTCTTCGGTACCCACACCAACCCTTCCAACCACCGACAGCTTGCAGAAGTGATCGCGGGCGTACTGACTTCTGTTACACAATGCTCCATGTTTCGTATCTAACGTAGAGCATTATCAGCTGCTGTCCTGCTGAGTGCATTGCAAACCCACTGGATTGGTTGGCATCATATTTCAACTGAAGTGGCGGTCAAGGCAGTGCAGGGAAGTAGCTTCATTTATTGTCGCGGGACTATATCATGGCTCGATCCTGGCGTGCCCAGCCAATTAGGCCATTAGGCAACCAAGCAGCCAGGGCAGCAATTCCCCCACGCGCGTTGAAACTTGAAGCTCTTATTCAAAGATGTTTAATTCACTCATGTTAATCCACTGTAGATAAGGACCAATATGTTTTTGTTGAGCTGTCGTCTAGCCCTGGTTCGCTTCCCCTATGTCGGAATCGCGAAACTATGAAAAGTAAACCCCTATAGACCCCTTGCCATCGGAATAAAACTAAGCTTCGGTAAGACCGGTGTAAATGCACCAAAGCAATACCAGCGTCGCCCGCACACCCTAGCTGTATTGAGCGTTTGCAGCTCTTGCAACAATAGCTTCTACTCACCTTTCCTAATCGTTTCCTACCATATCTCCTTGAGATGTGGCTTATGTAGTTATAGTACTCCAGAAGAGATTGCCATTTCTGTTACAGGAATACTGTATTAAGCAGATCTAAACCGAAGCGAAAGGCCTCACCGCCAGCATGACCAGAACTAAGAACCGAAAGCTCATGGTTCTAGTTGTAAGTAAAAGTGGTGCTGCTAAGGTTAGCACTCCACCCGATGGGTCCTACTTATTAGCCGTAAGCACAGCAGTTTAAATATCAGAAGCGCACCAGATGCCGCGGGACCTGCTTTGTTGTTCAGCGCGTGCTGAACAACAAAAACAATAAAAGGAACGGAGCTTAAGCGCTCATTATTACGGCCCTGAAGACACGGACCGCGGCGAAACAACTGAAAAGCTTGCATCGCCCAAGGGCCTTACGCCAACGAACCCGGCTTCCGCAACACAAGCCCGCAGTACTTGGTGAAGAGCATGTGTCGTAGGCGTCTCGCCGAGCCTTCAAAACCTTTGGAAAAAAAATCGAATAATTGAATTCTAAGGAATAAAATGCGACAGATATGCAGCTGCAGCTTGGTACCTCAAGATGAGCAGCAGGACAATGGTGTCCGCCGCCACTGTAATCTGATAATGCAACCTCCGGCGGGGCGCCTCACTTATGGGCCGTTAGGCGTGGCCTTCGCAAGGATAATTTTTTTCCAAAAACGGTGAATAAGTGGGGCCCAGTGAAGGTGGAGGGGCCGTTGACCAAGCTCTCTAAACAACACACGATTATCCGGTATCCTCCCTAACCTAGGGAGATGCTTCAGAAACGTGCGCTGCAGCTCGACCATGCATTCCCTAGAGACCTTTCGGAGTAGCAGGACCGCCCATCCGCGTCGGGTGGTCGTTCATCGACGTGGAGAATAAATTGAGGTTCCCACACCTGGACGACATACGACAGAATGGATCTAAATTGCACTCCAAAACACTTGAGCGCTATCTTCGGCAGAAGCAGTTCCTTTCTACGCAACTCAGGTATCAGGGCATGTGTGGCTCGCTGCCCCGCACTAAATACCTCATCAGTGCGGGATTCAAACGGAGCATCCGGTCCGAAATGAAGCCCTAAATACCTAGCCCTGCCAACCCACGGCATCTCTTCAAACAGTAAAGATGCAGCAGGAGAGAAGCGAGTATAGCGTCTAAGCTAAGTTATGTACGGCAGCCCTATGGCTTGCCTTTTTCATCAAATCTGTTACTTCAGTTGACATCTGCATAGTTACAGCAATCTGCCTACACCATTGGAGCTTATTGTTGCTCTAACTTCTGCGGCGGTGAAAGGCCCTTGGCAGCCCCTCTCCCCCTATCCGGCACCACGAACGCAACCGTACAGCAAAGGCAATGAAGGCTACAGGCCATAATTTGGCTTTCCGCCCGAACCTTGCGGAGCCATCGTAAACCTTATGAAACGTCAAATAGCCTTTATGTTAGGGGGTGAGTTTAATACATAGCGTGCGCTTGACTCCTCTTGAACCCTGCACCCTCTCATCAGCTCTAGGACGCGCGTGTGAGACAGCTGGCTGTTGCCCAAGGACACCCAGAGAATGTAAGGACGGGCCAGCTATTTCACTCTTTGCAGCCCGCTTGCGTGCTGCCCGTGCCCAGGGCAGTTGCCTAGTGATAGGTCGGGCGTGGGGCACTTTCCAATCGGCCGCACTGAGGGGTGTAGGTCCGCATGTCCGGAGTTAAGCCTGAGAATTCCCGCGTGCTGTAGACACATCGGGTTGAAGGAGATCTGATGCTGGGTATCTGATTTTTCTCCTCGAGCCATATGGGCTACCCGGGTGCATCCTTGATTCTCTGAAGGCTAGCTATGCCGACGTGAAGGCTCGGGTCCAGTTGGGGGGTAGGTTGGGACCTGAATTCGCTGTGTGGGGCGTGGTGTGCGGCAAGGGTGCCCCCTTAGTGTTACCCTTTGGGGGCCCCTCATTGAAGTGTTTGCTCATTACATTGATGCCCACGATGCTGACTGCCGCGTACGTCTCCCGGTTGATGGAGCATACTCTGTGAGGAGGGAGTGAGCCTGTCGGGCGGGGAACACACCAGCCTGTTTTTCGTTGATGATGTGTCACTGGCGGCAACTTGGCACGAACGAGCTCACTGCACGCCTACTCAGGCTACTCGAAGCCTCCTTCAAGGCGACGGGGATGGTCACGAACATCGCCAAGTGTGAAGTCCTCATTTTCGAGGGCACAGCACACGAACGTAAGCGGCTCATGGAGGCCGAGTACGCGGGTGCTGACCGGCAACGTGACGGCGCGGCATTACGCCACCCTTAAGTGGCCAGTGGGGAGCATACTTAAGGAGTTTCCTACGCGGCTGGATGCACAGTGGGAATGTCCGCGCGCTTTGCCAAATTGAAGTACCGGTGTCGTCAAGGCTTGCCGCTATCTGAGCTGGATGGGGGCGCCCCCGCCTAGGGGCGCACATCTCGGGTGGCTGGCGCACACTGACAACAATGCCGCAGCGTTTGCATCAAGTGCGCATGTGTTTCCGGTTGGGTTGTTGGGAGTTAGAGGTTAACCGACCTAACGGCCGTGAGCGCGCGCATCGCATGTACCTGCAGGCAGGCTTTGTCACTGTGGAGCGGTTGAAGACGAATTGCATGTTTTCGCGGAATGTCCTGCTTACACGAGCACTCGGGCTAAGTACGACGGTGACCTCGCGTTTTAAGGGTGAAGTGTGATAATGCCGCCAATGCCATTGACAACCTCTCGGAAGTCTGGGAGGTCAGGCACGTCGTGCTGAGGCGCTTCACCCTGAAGCGGACGATAATGGACGATAATGGCCCCCCGTGTACCCGCATCAGTACCAATCTACCGTCCATGGGCCCTCCCTGCTTTTACGGACAACCCCGCACTTGTGCGTGTAACTTGTAACTGATAAAGTAGGGTGTGAAATTCACCATGGTCGCCACACCGACTAGACGTTTTCGGAAATTTCCCCTTGCCCGGCCCATCGCACCGACATGCACCGTGCTGAGAAAATACACATACACACACACCTTCATCATCGCCACCCTCGCGCCAGACGTGCAAGCGTGCTGACATGGAAACGTGCACGCGCGATGTTTGGCGCTTTGGCGATAGTAACGCTTCATCTGTCGCGCTCTCCCCCACGCTTTACGCACGGTCTTCGCTGCCGCCCGCAGTGTCCATCCTCACCCGGGGGAAAAGCCGAACAGCTGTACAGACAACAGCTATATTCGCGGGGAGCAAGGGGATATTCCAGATCAGGAGGCTCCTCTCCCCCTTGCGGCCCGCCTGTCTACAAGCAGCCCCGCGATTCACAAGGGCTACGTGCTGTGAACTTCCTTCTGCAATATTGTTTGGCTCTGATGCGAAAGCGCATCTGCGTGTGGAGCTGCGAGGGAGATGCACAGGGCAGGAACGGGGATGCTGCCCACCCCCGTGGACGTGGACGGCTAGCGCTCCAAACCTAGACCTACGACAGACCTTACGTCACCATGCAGCAGCTCGATGCTAACAACCATTGTGCTAAGCTCAGTGCGACACAAGTTAGGGTTTGTTCACTTTTGACCAATCGGTCGCCGTCAGGGGGTTGATTGGTTGATTCTATTCGTCTGTCAGGATCGGCCCAACGGATAACCGCCATGTGCAACCAAACACACTCCTCACGCACCCATCCCAGCCGCCAAGCAGTTCATACCCGACTCCCGAATGGGAAGTATTTCGAGGCCCCGACAGAGGGTCATCAGCCATATGCAGCAATTGATTGAACTGACCGCGGCAATGGTTGCGTAACCGGTTCGAGCCGGTTTGAAGCATTTCACAGCAACCCAAAGCACAGCGAATGCAGAAACCTGCGCAAACAGGTCCCTGCCAGGTTAAGGGGAAAGGGTTGAGGTCAGCTGATACCGCACAGCAAGTCGCCAGGCTTGAACCCAGCAGAGCCCGGTCAGGCTGTACGACGGGCGATTAAATCCGAGGTTCCGCTATCCACGCCGTGCAATTGATTGTGGCATCCATTTTGCAATTTTTTTATGATAGTGTTGATGAAAGCGGTTGCAGCAGCTTGTTTCGTGACCCAAGGGTCTCCCTCCAGTCTTCCAAGCTGCGAACTCTCCAAGCCAACGTTCGATCGTGCCTAGATGTACTTTAAAAATGACAAAGATTGAAAAACTTTTCCTGGTTATTGACAACTGTGTGTAAAGCACAACATTTTCCATTTTTTTAAGCATAGTTTGAGCCTTTCAGCTCAGGCCGTTAATCCTGACAAACTCATCGTGTCCAGATGGCCGCGTGTCCACGGCGAATCGACCCCAAGATTTATTTAGGTAGGTGGGCGAGGGCTTTCCAACGGCCTTCCGGCAGGCCACGCCGGCTGGACATCCCCCAACCGCCCCAACCCCCAACCGCCCCATACCCAAACCGCCAACAACGAAGCCAACGAACGCACGTTCCTAACGTGGATGCGCCAGGCGGTGCTGGTGGGCGGCATCGGCGCCGCTGTCTCAGGTGCTTCCCACTTCGCTAGGCCCTAAGCCCCAGCGCGCGATGAAAGCTGGAACAGGAAGCAGCGCCAGAGCCGGAAGAATGCATATACCGACAGCGCATCCATCTTTGTGTCCAGCTGCACGCCCCCCAGCATGTTTCTCTTCACACGTGTTCTGTTCTCTCACACCATGCATCCATCTCTCAGACGAGTACCGCCGGGCATTTTCTCCGGGTGTTCCAACGTGCGTGCCTCCGGACTGTGCGCACATGTCGTTGCGGTCATTGTGAATTCGGTCGGTTTAAAACATGGCTGAGGTGCCGATGTGGATTCGGGTTTATGGTTGGGCTTCAAATTTTGCTGTTACGCGCCGCCCACGCGCTTTTCCCCAGGCCTCGCTGCATACCAGGGAATCCACATCTACCCTCGTGCGCGGCAGCAGGCAGAGGCGGCCGCCCAGGTGCACCGGCTGGTGCTGCTCAAGGTTGCCTCCGCGGCCTTGCTGCTGCTTGCGGCAGGACTTGCGGTCACCTCGGGACGTAACTTTGTGAAGCGATGCCACATGATCAGGTGCGGACAGGGCAGCGCGTCGCCTGCTGTTTGAGGGAATAAACACGTCGCGCTCTTGCTGGAGCTCCTTCCTTTCCACTTGACAAGGTTGACCAAAGCGCGACCTTATGATGAAAGCAGCTAACATGTTCAATCCGACGTACCTTTTGAAGCTCCAAGATTCCCCACTCTGCTCGGTCTGTAGCTCCGGAGGGTTGCAGAGCGGTTAGGATGCGGCACAGGATAAGGATGGGAAAGAGTACGATGTAAATGTGGAACCCCCCAAAGGATAAGGTTGGCAGAGGGCCCAGGATGGCGGCATATTTGAAAGGGTCGACGCCAACCCACAAAGGATGAGGATGGCGGGGGGGGGGGATGCAGTCACCAGGATGCGGGATGTTTGGCTCCAGTATACGACAAGGTAGTGTAGGATGTATCTGTATCCAACCGACAGGATGCGTACCCGACTCTCCCCCCCAGGATGCGAGGATGGGGCACCGATCTGCACCCCTCATGTTCCTCGCTTTCTGACAAAACCTAACACCACCACGCCGCTTCCCTGTCTCTCAGTCGCCCCTTCCTGTGCTCCACGGCAGTGCGTATGTGGTCCCCTGACCTTGACCGCTTTGCAGAACCGGAGTGGGCTCAGACAACCCGGGCTGGGACAGCCGTTGGCTTCCGCGCGTGCTGACTGGCGTCATGACAGGGGTCATGGCAGCGGTGCTGGCGGCAGCACTGTGCCGTGTGTTTGGTCGCGGGTAGAGGTCAGACGGAGAGAATGACGTTCCGGGACGGAAGCGGAGAAGGGCGGCCCATGCTGCACAAGTTGGGTTCGTGCCCAAGCATGCTGGCCCACGTCTTAAGTCCCAGATTCCCAATGCGCGTAAAGGTTAATAGGCTTTTTGTTCCGAAGACTTCTAAATGCATCCTGATTCTGTTGCCGCTGTTGAGAAGACAAAGAGACGACTCCTTGGAACCACGCAGACCGAAACGGTCCAAAAGCTATAATTTAATATGACGGGACAGTTGAAAACGTGTGCGTTTTAGGACGCCATGTTGCTTGGCATGGGTTTACTTAGCAACATTTGTAGCGCAATGCGTGCGCCTCAGGAGGCGTGGTACCCTGCTTTGATGCTAGGAAAAGACGCAGGCCTGGGTGCGTGTAGCCGCATGAGCAACTGCAACCCTAGCCTTGGCTGCCTTGAGTGTCGCGGGTTCGTGGGTACGAGCGTTATGGAGCTCTCGTTACATCGCTTGGGAACTCCGTGGGAAGTTCGGGTCATGTGATGTTGTTGGACATGTATGGCCAAACCGTATTGCACCATTGACCGTGTACCTTGTGAAATTGTCAAGGCGTACTGGGCCACTGTCCCTGCCGGCCACTACCCTTGATTGAGTTGTCGCTACGTTAAAAGAGGGGGCCCACCGGGAACATGTTCTCTATCCTGCACGACACGCAGGCAGAGATGGCACCGCCAGTGCACCTGGCTCCCTTTCCCTGTCGGCGGTGCCGACAACAACAATCCCCCTGCTGTTTCTCATAACACCCTTCGAGTTTACCTCAACCCGGCGGACGTGAAGCCAGCCAACGTCCAACCCTCGGACATTAACAAGTTCTTTAAGACGTAACACAGGCACACACAGGCCGCTAGCTGACCCTCTGCCAGCCGCCGAAGATCGTCGGCATAACTAGTCCCACAAGCTCATTTGCCCTTGAGCAGGGCTTCCGTTCTGTCGAGCAGGGGTATGAGCTCCCGATTTAAAGTGGTGACCTTGTAGCTCGCCATGCCCTGAAGCATACCAAGGTTCTCCCCCCCAGGCATGAGGTACTTCATGGTTTGCAAAGTGCTGATCGTAACGCGGTCCACCTTGGCCACCGCGTTGTCGTCAGGATAGCCCAAAACAGCCTTCATCCTCCGGAAAAGCTCAGGATTCCGAATTGCAAGTTTGGAGCCATAGCGCATGGGCCGGCGGAAAGCGCGCCGTGCCCCCACGGAGCGCTGCTCCCCTGTGTCCAGACAAGATATAATGTTACATGTTGTAACGGCCTTAATGGCCAGCAAACATGTGTCGCGGCGGGTTTGCCGTATTTACGTCGGTTGGGGGAAGTTAAGCAAGGCGAAATGAGCGCCTAGTGCCACCCAAGGTCACCTTGAGAACAGTATGATCTTGAACTGGAGCTTGGCTGGCAGGCGTCAGCGGCGGTGGACAGCGGTAATGCCACCGCCCTAACGGGAAAGCCCATCGACAGCCGCTTAGGAAGGGCAAGTAGCATCCCTAGGCTTGTCATAACACCCGCAGAGTATTGGCACTCCTGCCCTAAGCAACCCACAGAAAATTGTTGCGAGCTTGGTCTCAAGATGGCCGACAGAGTGGTGAGCACAATCCAAACGTATGGCTTTCAGTTACAATTCTTAAATCACAAACCAAAAGGTGATCAAGGTGTTTCGGATATGTGGAAGACGTGATGTCTCACAGGAACCACCGACGTGACCGGGCTTTCTTTTGCGCAGTGCAGCAAAGCGTTCAGGCAACAAATTTACGAAGAAGATCTCGAACATAACATCTGCCAAAATTCGAACTCGCTGCTTGTGGGGCCATGCGTACGACGCCGTACTGCGAAACGGCATCCCGTGCCTGCGACCTTCCCCGACGCAACGCACGCAAGCCATGTACACGCATCAAGCGTGTCTCGCTGATGCCAAACGAAGTGGCAGACGAACTGTGTGCATATCCGCAGGCTTCAAACACGTCCCCCTGTACCCTAGCGTCCAGCCACAGACGATGCCCTGTTATACGGCGATAAGACCACCTTTCGCATCGCAGCGCACCAGTTACAAGTTTTATGGCTTACCCAAAGGACCTGGGCCCCAAAGGCTGCCTCAGTCCCTTAGGGTTCCACCTGAGTTTCACGTCCGCGTTGTGGAAGGCACTTAACACAAGCTCAGTCCTGTTCAGTCAAACCTGAGAACAAGGGCAGGTATGGCTATGGTCAAACCGCATCCCCTAAGCTGCACAGCACCAGCAGCACCAGCAGCACCAGCACACCAGCAGCACCAGCACCAGCACCAGCACCAGCACCAGCACCAGCACCAGCACCAGCACCAGCACCAGCACCAGCACCAGCACCAGCACCAGCACCACCAGCACCAGCAACGGCAACACAGCCGTAAACCGTTACCAGAATTGCACGGGAACCCAACAACATGAGCAAACAAGTCTTGACTAGCAATAACGTTCTCCTTCGTGCTGCACAGCAAAGCACACCTGCTCTTCACCATTCCATCCCCCATGCTGCGTGTGCCATCATACGATCATCACGTACACTTGTGCTCGCAGAAGGCTGGCGCCTTGCTGTGCCTCCTTTTGACACGTCATCTCATTGCCTCATGGCCACACGGCCCCCTCGCAAGAATAAGAGGAGGAAGAAGTTAAGAACACGTGACAATCCTTAAACACAACATAAAAGACCTCAAGAGCTCAATCAACCAGCGCATTCGGCCCAGCGCTTGAAGCAGCTCTTGTGGCTTGATGTCATTGTCGTACCCGACGAGTCGCCGTAGGCCCATTAAGCAGGATAGGCGCTCCAGGATTGGCGTGCCTAAACAGGCGTTGCCCGCCAGGATAAGCTACGCAGCCCACCGCTTGACATCGCCGCCAGTGCATCAACATCTTCGCATCGTAGAGCCCATGGCCCCTGCATCCGCTGCGTCTCATCCGCACCGACTGCACCTGCTCGTTGCTGTTGCTGCTGCTGCTGCTGCTGCAGTGGCGGTGTTGCCGGTAATGGCAGTGGCAGCGGCGGCGCTGACGACGCCAATGCTGCCGACGGCGCCATGAAGTGAAATGCGCTAGCGGGCAAATGTCTCAGGTACGGCCAGGCGGCCGCCACGGCGGCGGCGGTCACACCTGGTGCAGTACAGTCATTCAACGTCAAGTGCACTAACTTAAACGACCCAAGGGACAGTAGCAGCAGGTCTGGCAGCGTGCAGCGTTGCGGTTGCAGGTACGCCAATCGCGGCAGCAACGTGCAGCCGCCGCTGCCGCCGCCGCAGCACAAACGTGCCATTCCGATGCCGATGCCGATGTCGCTGTTGGGCTTCCGACGGCCTCTTGCCTCCGAAGGACTCCGCCATCCTTCTGGAGCTCAATTTAATCTCCGCAGGATGCTCGGGACTGGAATATCCGCTGCGGATGTGGGCGGATGGCATCGTCGGAGACGGAGATGCTAGCCTCAGCAGCAGCCAGCGCCAGCGGCGGCGGGGACGGTGGCGCCACGCAAAATTCCACGTTGGCCAACTCCATATGCGTCAGGGACGGCGGTAGCCATGTCCCATTCACCGTACAGCTGTAGCGCGTGGGCCGGAAGTGCGGCAGCAGACATAGCACAAGGTGCTCCAGCCGCTTCAAGAGCACCAGCACCGTCAGCCCGTGGCCGTCATCACCGCATCGACTTTTGCTGCATGCAGCCATAGTCAGCCCCGCGCCCTCCGCCACACACAAGAAGCCGCAGCCCGGGCACCTCTGATGCGAGTGCTGCCAGCAGCCCGCCGCCAAGCTTCTGTGGCGGTGCGGAGCCATCGCTGCGCATCAGCCGCAGGCTAGTCCGGGCCGCCACGCCCCGCAGCCGCAACTCAGCACCCCTGGTGAAGCCGGTGGTAGCGGTGTCGGAGAACAGCCTCAGGCTCAGGGACTGTAGGGGGGAATAGCGGCCCAGGTCTAACGCATGCTCATCCCCGTGGAGGCTCCCCGTCCCGCCGCCGCCGGCAGCGCAATACACTGTCATCTCTAGGGCAGTCACGGCCGGCACCAGGGCCGCAGCCGACGCACTCAGCGGCGGCACCAGCAGCTGCTGCAGGCCTAGTGAGCACTGCCTAGGTCCTGCACCGCCGAGGCCGCGTCTTCGGTCACGTCAGTGGCACCTGCTTTGCTGCTGGCGACGTCAACTGTAACAAGGCGGTGGCGGTGGCCCTCGTGCTGGCTGTCGGCATCGGCACCATCGCCCAGGCATCTACCGACGCTGTCGCTGCCGCTGCGTTTCTTCATACATATCATGAGAGTCAGCTTCATCCATCACCGCCATCAGTGCTGCTGCTGCTGGTGATGCTGCGCGAGCTGCTGCTGCTCGTCGTCCTGCCTCCGAGTCGGCTCCTCCTCCCGCCGCTGGTGCTGTCAGATGCGCTACTCCGCCGGCACCCGCCGGCTCCACTGTTGTCATATGGGGAGCTGTTGTAGTCATCGGCGACCACCGTGATCCGGAGCGCCAACGCCACATCCGCGGAGGCGCCAGTCCAGAGCGGTAACCACCTTGCTCACTGCCGCCGCCGCCATCGTCTCCACTGCCAAATCTAACGTGCACGGAACGCACGTAATCGCACTCGTCATCCGCATTTACAAGCCCCAATTCCAACCGGCGAAGTGCGGTACCGAAGGCACTGGCACAGGCACTCAGGTTGGATGCAGCAGCGGCGGCTGCCACGGTGCCGCCGCTGCAGCGCTGAGGCGAAGAAGGCTCCTGCACGTTTGGTCATCTGCTGGGTTGTCGAGGTCCAGGGCGCGCAGGTGAGACAGGACAGGTAGCTGGGACATGAGGCCGCATAGCACGAAGGCTTCCCCCCCGCTGCTGCCAGCACCGGCTCCAGAACCGTCATCCGCACCGGTGCTGCCAGTCCCTTGGTTAAGACGGACACGACGGGACCAAGCCAGGGCGAGCCGCAAAAATGCTTCTTAGGTACTGCCTCGTCACAAGCGCTTGTTAGATTCATTTTCTCTCGTGTTTACAGTCCGGTGACGCTGGGTATGTGGGCGCGCGTGCATTCCAAACTTATAAACATGGTTGTCATCTACAACATGCAATGTAGCCGTGAGCGCACGGGTACATCACTAGCAGCTCCTTGATCTCCCATCGCGCGCGTCACACCCATGTAACACCGCCCATGTCTGGCAGGGGTGCGCTAAAGTATAGCCAGTCCACGTACATGCCCGATCTGCGTACATCGCTCGATCCACGTCCGCGTCGATCGCTAACAGGTGTACCCGTCCATTGCGCAGCTGGTCACCTCCCCGTGAAACTTAGCAACATTCCTGCAGCGCAAGATTGTGCGTCACCATATTGACACGGGATCGTCTTTTACGTCTAAAGTTGAGGGGTTTTATACCGTCTTCACCTGCCTTCCCGGCTAGAAGCCCGTCACGCGGCTCTCCTCTACTCACCACCACCTCCTCGGAGAAAACAAAAGTCAGATTGCACGCCCCAAGCAGTGCGTGTCTTCCATGAGTTCCGATGCAACACCTGCTAACCTCCAAAAGTCACAATCATCCCGGCCCGCCCGAAATTGTAGAACGATTCCTTCTTTTCCTGCTTTGCCTTAGCCTTATCCCAGCACTCAGCGTCGCCATAGGCGGCTCAAAGCCCCTGTCACTTCTGCCCCTTACACCGCTTATATACCACATCTTATATACCACATCCCGGTATATCCCGGCGAGCTGCTGTATGACCAACTGCGGGCACAACCGCCCGGCAACCCGACAGACCAACGCGACAACAGAACGCTGCACGCCGCGCTACTATTGTGATAGGGAAAAGCCGCCGCCCGTGAAGCGAGGCTGGTTGGGGTTGGGTGGCGATGGCGCCGGCGGCTTGAGGCTGCGCTCGCGCTCCATCTGCTCGCGGCGCTTGCCCTCGAAGTATTTCCGCTTCATTTCGTTGAGTTCCCGCACCAGCCGCTCGATCTCGTACTTGTACTCGTTGACCTGCGCCTGGTACATGTTGAGCTCGCTGGCCATGGCCTTCATCTGCTTCGTCTTTTCTCGCAAGTTTGCCTGCAGGAACAGGACGGGCGCGCGGCCGCGGAAAGTTATGTCAAGAGAGGAAGACCAAGAACCTAAATGAGACCCAGTTGCGTGCGGCCCGGGAAAAGAGGCACTTCGGGTATCTGGGCCGCATGGCGCGAAAATGACACAACACGATGGGATAAAGCACGTGCCAAGCATCTTTCTCCTAGCGGGCAGGACCAGGGTTTCCCCACGCCCAAGCTATCTTGGCAGATCCGTTCACGTACTCCATGGTGCTGCTACAGTGTCCTTCTCATCCAGACTGAAACACAACTGCACCCGCACACCGCATTCACCACGCGCCGACACCACACACAGTGGGCTTGGAACCCTTGTAAGTTCGTTGCTGTAAGCCGCGTGTATCGCGCCCCGCATGTTTGTAAGCAGGGGTCTATACCACGCTACAATATACCAAGGTACACGACCCTTGCAACACGGGCTAAGATGTACAAAGCTACAGATTTTCCGCTGCCTCCTTCCAAGTCCACCTCACCTGGTAAATGCTGAGCTGCTCGGCCACCTCGGGACCCGGTTGTCGAGCTAAAATGTTTTTCAGCTCCATGTACAGCTTTTCCTTCTCCTGCAAGGCACACAGCCGTACGAACAGTAGCGCAGTCCAGGCACACAAACGTTCAGCAAGCATTCATTAACGCCCAGCAAGCGGCACACATTTTCAGTCTCACCGTGCAGCCTCTCACCCTCCCTAGTTTCTTTCCCACTCTACCCAGCCTCCCCCTACACGCCTCCAATACCTTTCCACTGCTTGCCGCACCTGAATTAGCAGATCTTTTTCCACCACCTCCTCCGTCTTGGCGATCAGCCGCTTCTGCAGCGTCTGAATCTTCTGGATCATCTCGTACGTGCCTGGATCCGAGCCCTCCAACTTGCGCCAGCGGTGCACGTTCAGCGGGTTCTCTAGCTCCTCGCTCAGCGCCTTAACCTTGGTTCGCTCTTGCAGCAGTTCGCGACCCAGCTGGTGCACCTCCCGCTTCAACACGTCGATGTTGGCAACCGAGGACTTGAGTATGTGCAGCTCGCGCTTCAGGTCGGCGAGCTTCACCTTGAGCACGCGGATCTCGTTCAGACGGTCGCGGTACTGGATCTGGCCCTTGGACAGCGTGGATTGTTGAATCTTGATTTTTTCGTACAAGAGCGCAAGCTCGTCGTTACGGCGGACGAGCTGCGTGCCAAGGATGTCGCGCTCGTTGACGACAATGTCGTACTCTTTTTTCTGGCGGATGCGCTCCTGGTCGGCCTCGTTGATGATGTGGTTAAGTTTGTCAATCTCGGCCTTTTGTGATCCGATTGCTGCGTCAGCCTCCTTGATCTGCGCCTTGGACTTGTCAAGCTCGGCGCGCAGCAGGTCCTTCTCCTTGATCACCTGTTCGTACAGGACGCAAAAGGACGGTTCGTGTGAAGTGGCATACGGACGGAAAGGGAAGAGGATATAAAGCGGAAGGAGAAAGGACAAACAAAAATGTGAAGGTGAGAGTGTGCGGGGTGTATGTTTAATGAAAGGGGTGGAAACGGGAGCATGCGAAGGACGTTACGTCAAGGACGCGCAGCAACACGGGACTGTAGTGTTGCCTTCAGGCAGTACTTCTCTGCTCTCCAGGCACTCCTTGCAACGCAGACCCCACCTCTCAACACCCAACTATCCGACTTCGCCCACACAGCCATGGCCTTGTCGTGCCATTCGCCAATTACTCCCCCGCCTAAGCAGCACCAGTGTGCCGTTTCCTCGCTCATGTACCTTTTGGTGGTCAAAGTGCTCCTTCAGCAGATACAAATCCTTGCCCGTGATCTCCTCCTTGAGCTGCTCTATCTGGTGCTGCATGATCTTAAACTTGCGCTTCATCTCCTGGATCTCGTCCTGCGCCTCAATCAGGTTCTTGCTGTACAGGTTCCGGTCAGCGCGTACGGCCTCGTATAGATTCTGCTGCTGCTTAAGCTTGGCTTCACCCTCCATGATGCGCTTCTGCAGATCGATAATGGCCATCTCGCGCAGCTTCACCTCCTCCAGCGCCTACGGAAAGGAGATATAATGAGTTTTAACGTTGTAATAGGTTGGCAAAAAACTTATAACGAAGCCTGGAAGTTGCAGTTAGTAAAGCCAAGCAGGGAAGCGATGAGCGACGACTTAGGTTGGGGGTTTTCAGAGGGCTTCAGACCAGTGGGGCTGCACACCTAAAACGGATCGCAGCGCATGTCATGCACAGCCAAGCACAGCGCGGACCTGCTGCCTGAAACCCGCGGGCCACCGCGTCCGCCCTCAGTACCGTTTGCAACGACACCCCTACCCCACCTGCATGTACTTTGCGGACGCCTCACTGGCCTCAATGCTGTACTTCTCCCGCTCCTTCTCAAGCTGGTAAATCAACTTGGACTGCTTCTGCGCCTCCGTCTTGTAGCCCTGGATCTCCTGCTCCAGATTGCGCTTTGTGTTCTCGTTGATTTTAATCAGATCAATCTGCTTCTGTGTCGCGTTCTCGGCCTGCAAGAAGGTTCGAGATGCGTCACGCGCAAGCGTTTAGGCAAGTTTGAACAATCAGGCAGAAACGGATGATGGAAATTGGCACACAGGTGCTTAGAAGGCAGAGCTTGGGAGGCAGAGGCCCAGGAAGTTTTCCAGAAGCGAAATGCCAAGCCAGCCCACGGCTTGCACGGTAATCAGGCAGAAACGGAAGCCGTTCCCGTGTTTTCACACCAAAACCCTTATTGTATTGGCGTTTCTCAAGAAATCACCATATATGTGCAATCGACACAGCATGCCACCCCAATGAATGACCGGTCGCCATGCAGATGCGCCATCCACACGCCCGCAACGGATGTACACATCGCGTTATTACACCGTCGGCTGGCAGCACACCACGGCGGGCTCGAATGCTCCGAAACCTTAACAACTTCCATGCGCACGTCCGAGCTTCAGTCCAGCCCCGTATGGCTTGAACACACACACGCACACTCACACACCCCACCCTCCTTTCCCAGCTGTATCCCGTCCTTACACCGAGGAGCCAGCACACATCTGCCTGTCTTGGCCTCTCGTAATCTCTTTTTTGCGGAGAGGCTTGCTGCCAAAACTCTTGCTGATCTGAAACCAGCTACGCGCCTATGTAGCTCGCCAATGTTTGCATCCCCGTCGTGCCCCAACCTTCCCTGCTTTCATCCCCCAAACCCACCAAGGCCCTACATTTCCCTGCGTGTATGCATTACCAGTCCCCCACGTGCCCGACCCATAACACCAGCCAATACCCACATCCCCGTGCAAAGAGCTGTCACTACGGGCGTATGCTGCGGCCAACTGTGCACATACATATTATTCTCCCACGGCCATTTGCGCTCGTACCTGGGAGCGCAGCTTTGTGAGCACATCACGTTCGCGCATCAGCTCCTCCAGCTTCTTTTTCTCACCATCCACCTCCTTCTGCTTGGTCTCCAGGTCGCGCTCAAGCTGCGTCAGCTCGCTGCGTAGCTGATCTCGCTCGCGCTCCACCTCAGCGCGCTGCTCTTCCAGCTGCTTTGTTTTCTTGAGCGTCTGCTCGCGCAACTTGTTGACGCGTGAGGCTTCCTGCTTGATCGCTGCAATTTCCTCCTCCTTCACCTTCAGCTCCACCTGCTTTGCAGAGTTTTCCGCCAGAAGCTGCGTGTTCGTGTGGATCTGCTCCTCCAAATCATGATGCAATTTCTGCATCTTCTCGTTAAGCAGGTTGTACTCCTTCTGCACTTTCTCCGTGGCGAGCTTGGATTCGCGTAGCATCTGTTCCAGCTTGGATACCTGCTCCTCTGTCGACGTCACCTGCAGTTGCTTCTGCTTAATCTCCGACGACCGCACCTCCAGCTGTTGCCGCAGCTCCTTCATCTCCTTCTCCATGCGCTCCTTCTTGCGAATTTCTCGCTCCGCCTCGGCCTTCTTCTCCGCCACCGCGTCCTTGAGCTGCTGGATGTCCATCTCCAACTGCAACTTCTCCGTCTCCGCCCCCCGTAGCTTCTCCTGCGTCTCCATCAAATCGGAGCGCAGCGCCATAATTTGATCCACCTGCGCGTCGCGCTCGCGCACCAGCTCCTCCTTCTGCTTCAGCAGTTCGTTGAGCGTGGTCTCCTCGCCGATAGCCAGACCGGCGCCCTGCTCCACGAGCCGCGTTAGGTTGGCAATCTCAATCTTCAGCTGCTGAATTGTCTCCTTCGCCTTGGCCTCCTTCTCATGGCTGGCGTCCACCATCTTCCAGGCCTTCTCGATTTCCTTCTTAAGCGCGGTGATGGTCTGCTGGTCCTCCTCATTGAGCTTTAGTGCCGTTTGAACCTTAGCGGCATTGGCGACTATCTCGGCGTTCAGCTCCCGGCATTTCTTGATAAGGCGCTTCTCGCTCTCTTCGGTTATTGGTGCGGGGATGAGGTAAAAGGCGCGGGGGTGTCTTTGTAGTGCGGTAGGAAGGGTTAGGGACTGGCTCGGGTAAGATGGTGCGCGGGGTGATGGCGCGGGTAGCTGACCAAGACCATGCTGGTGATAAGTTGAAAGGGACGGCAGAGGCACCGCTCCAGGGCTGCACGAGCAAACAGCACGAAACGCCGGCAACGCGAAATGCATCGTGACGCAGGTATTGCTTTGGCAGCCAAGCTAACCGCTGGCGCATACTGCGGACAATCGCTCCGCAGCTGCTACGGACCCAGAATTCCCATAATTGTTTGGGCACGGTTGGCGCCAGGGAGAGGAAGCCATGGGCACGACGCACGCGACGTCCAACCCCACAACACTAGCGCGGGGCCCGAAGCTTACCATGAGACTTTTTCAGTGCTCTGTGAAGTTTTTCGTACTCGATACGAAATCGTTCAAGGCTTTTGTCACCAACGAGCTCTTGAAGAACCTAGCGGAGTAAGACGGATAACCGTTGCTCAATAAAGGGTGACAAATTATACTTGAAGCCCCGCAGGCTATGAATGTATGATGATGT